TCCTCTTTCCTAGCATGAGTAGCACTTTCTCTTTGATTGAGCCTTCTCTTCCTTGCTCATGTGGTGCTTCCCATTGCCTTGCCTCTCATGGATTACTTAAGCCTTCTTCTCAAGCTTGGTAGGACACTTAGAGGCAAAGTGTCCCGTATTTCCATACTTGAAACACTTGATGTGAGCATAATCTTTTTTCTTATCTTCATTCTTGCTCATCATCTTGGCATCTTGAGTTTGCATTGGATGTCTTGCCTTTCCACCCCTTCTTGTTTTCTTCTTCTTCGTCATCAAGTCACCACCATCTTCATGATAGATCTTGACTTGCTCTTGGGGTGTCTTCTCTTGCTCAACTTGTGACTTTGGTTGAGGCTCTTCTAGTTGCTTAACCAATTGCTTGGTTGGGCACATTGAGGTAAGATGACCCCAAGTGCGACACTTGAAACATTTCACATGCTTGAGCCTCTCTTCTTCTTTTGTCTTCTTGAGCTTCTCAATGTTAGGGCAACCATTTGCAAGATGTCCTGCTTCATGACACTGGTAGTACATGGTATGAGAGAGCTTTCTTTGTTGTAGCTTCTTCATCTTTCTTTCTCTCTTTCTTTCGCCCTTTGTCATCTTCTTCTTGAAACCAAGGCCACACTTGTCACCATAGTTTCTTTGAGTCTTCAATATGTGCTCAAAGGTGACTTTTGAGTTGTAGCACCTCTCTAACTTTTTGCTCAAATTCTTCATTTCATTTTTGAGCTCATTGTTCTCCTTCAAAAGGTTAGTCTCACAAGACATAGAAGTAGAACAAGCATCTATATGTGAAGAACATGGCATATCTAATAAATCATCACAAGAGGTGGATACATGCTTCTTGCCTACATCACAAGGGTTAGCAATATTTTGCAATTTATCATTTGATCCATGTGATGAGCTTTCATTATTTTTAAGTTTCTTTGTAAACACTTTAATAAGAGAAGCATGTTGTTCTAATAATTTTTCATTAGATGCAAGTAGTGTCTCATGATTCAATTTTAGAACATCAAGTAATTTCTTATGTTCTTCACAAGTTCTTTAGAAATAAATTTTCATTTAATAAGACATGGTTATGCTAGTAAGTCTACTAACAAGCTCATCATATGAATCAACATGATCAACCATATTATCATTTGATACCTTGGTGTCACCTTGTGACATGAAATAATGTGGTGTAGTGGATGGGCTTGTAGTAGCATCACAATCATGGCTCGAACATGAACCATCATCACCATCAAGTGTGCATGGGGTAGGATCATCATGTGCATCACTTGAGGCATCATCAATCTTGTCAAGTGATTTTGTGGTAGCATCATCATCATTATCACTTGACCATGAGGTGGAGCAATCTTCCACAATCACCAAATTATGGTCATGCTCAACACGCTCATGTGCCTCCACCTTGTGATCATCCTCCTTTAATTTGCCATCATCCCACATGGAGGAATCATCGAAGGTGTGCTTGATTGATTCCCATATCTCACGAGCGGTTCCCTTGTAGTTTACTTGTTTCATCAAATCAAAACTCAATACATTCGTTAGAAAATAACAAGTATGTGCATCAAGTTCATAGAGAACTCTTTGAGCTTTGGTGAGATTTCTATGGTCCAAGACATGGGTGAGACCACTAGTGATAACCCACCAAAACTTAGGTCCCTTTGCGCGAAAATGATCAAGCATGTGATTTTTTTAAAATGCAAAGTTTGTGCCATAAAAAATGTGTCTCACAAATATCTAGACCACTAGATGCCATCCTCTCGGGTCGGTGAAGACCACAAATTAGAGACCTCGCTCCGATACCACTTGTAAGGTTGAGATGACGACTAGAGGGGGGTGAATATTCGTTACTAAAATTAATCGCGCCTGCTAACTGAAACAAATGCGGAATTAAAACAATCGGTCTAGCCAAGACTACACCCCTCTATCGAAGTTCACAGGCACCTTATAAAGATCCTAATTAGTCAACAAAGGTGCGGGACTAGTTAGAGCTCACCTATCCAATTCTAGGAGAAAGGTCACACAAACCTATGCCACTAGTATTTTACACACCAAGGAGCTCCTACACAATTCTAGTAAGCAAAAAGCACAAAGCCCCTAAGCTCACTAGCAATGCTCAATAACAAGGCAACCAATGTCAAATTAGAGAGCGCAAATACTTAGCTACACAAACTAAGCAATGTGACTAATAAGGTTACACAAACCAAATTAGCCACGCAAGAGAGCTACTTCTATGCTACACAAGCAAAAGGTAACTAGTGAGCTACACAAGCTAACTAATTACAAGAGCAACTACATAAGCACAATATATATGAAAGTAACTACAAGCTTGTGTCAGGAGATTGTAAACCAACGGAAAGAACAAGGTTGACACGGTGATTTTCTCCCGAGGTTCACATGCTTGCCAACACGCTACGTCCCCGTTGTGTCGACCGCTCACTTGGTAGTTCGGTGGCTAGGGGATTGTAAACCAACGGAAAGAACAAGGTTGACACGGTGATTTTCTCCCGAGGTTCACATGCTTGCCAACACGCTACGTCCCTGTTGTGTCGACCGCTCACTTGGTAGTTCGGTGGCTAATTGGCATCACCCACCAAACCCGCACGTCGGGCATCGCAAGAACCTACCCCGAAAGTGAGGGTAGCTCAATGACACGCTCAACTAGAGTTGCTCTTCGCGGCTCCCGCGGGGCAAGCACAATGCCCGTCACAAAGCTCTTCTCCGGAGCACCACACAAGCTTCTTGCGGGCTTCAATGGAGACCACCACCAAGCCGTCTAGGAGGTCGCAACCTCCAAGAGTAACAAGCACCACCGGCTTGCAACTCGAACACCTAGTGCCACTCGATGCAACCTCACGATGCAATCGCACTAGAATCGCTCACTCACACAATCGAATGATCACTATCAAGTATGTGTGAGATGAAGGGCTCCCAAGCACTCTCAAGCATGGACACAAAGTCCCCCAAGGTGCTCAGCCATAGCCATGGCCGAGACCACCTTCTATTTATAGCCCCATGGGCTAAAATAGCCGTTACCCCTTTACTGGGCGTTTTTCGGGTTGACCGGACGCGCCGATCAGATCGACCGGACGCACCCTACCAGTGTCTGATCGTGCTACGCCGTCCACGTGTCGCACTGCATTCAACCGAAGCCGCCCGATCTCAACGGTAACTTCGCGCGCCAATGGTTAAGTTGCGACCGGACGCAGCACAGTGAATGACCGGACGCTGCTACGCCTGAGTCCGGTCGTTTTCAGAGAGCTCTCCGAGCCTCTGTTTTGTGACCGGACACGTCCGGTCCACCATGACCGGACGCAGACTAGCATTCGATCAGTTCTGCGCCCGCGCGCCTAACTCCAACGCCGCCTACGTCACCATACGTCAACACTGACCAGACGCAGGCCCTGAGCGTCCGGTCACTCTTTGCGCCAGCGTCCGATCACGAGACCGAGACCACGCGCTCACTGCTGCCACTGACCGGACGCGCCGGTGCTGCCGAGGCTAGCGTCCGGTCACTTACACTGACCTCCTTTCGCATCCGTTTCTTCACCGAGTTGATCCGTTTCAACTCCAACTTTATCTGTAAATGTGCCAACACCATCAAGTGTACATTATTATGTGTATGTGTATTAATATTTTCATAATTATTTTTCAAAGGATTAGTCACTCAACTTGCCCCGCCACTCGATCCTAACGACGATGCAAAGTTAGATCACTCGAGTGGCACTAGATGACCGATATGCGATCTCTTGAATCTTCATTTCAATCTCTTAAATACTATATAATGGGTAACCAAGAGGACCGGTGGAATAACCGATCTGTAAAGAATTAGATGCATTTCTAGAATACCTAATAAATCATTAATTTGGTTATGTAGTATGGTCAAAAATATATTTCCTTTTATTATAAGATAATTTTGGGATACAGTTTTATTGAAAAAATCCTGAAATTATTGAAATATCCTTAAAACTTACACGATTGGTTAGTAAATATTTTTATAGCCACGTACGTGTCGCACGTGCATTTATACTAGTATATTTATAAATAAATAATGATGATGATCATTCAAACAATAAATAATAAGGATGCCAATAGTCAACTATGCAACAATATCTTATCATAAGGGGAAAAATAAGTCCAACTGGATGACAAAACCACCAGGCCAAGTGGCAGGCCACCGCAAACAAAAAAAATTCGACCATTGCGAGCGAACAAAAACCTCCCAGCACAGGCAAGAACTGGGGATCGTCGCCTCTCCCTCCGTCTCTTCCACCCCCACCATTCATCCAATCACGTCGGCGTCCATCTCCTCCTCCACAACTCCCTTTCCAGGATTCTCCTCTCCTCCAATCGCCTCTAAAACGCAAAGCACTGGATCGGACGTCACCAAACAAAAAGATCGGTGGCGAGACGAGAAAGAAAGGAGCCGAGAGAAAGTTGAAAAGGGGAGAGGGGAGAAAAGAGAAGGTAGAAACTAGAAAGTTAGCTTCTCCCCGCTAGAGGTAGAGCTCGGCGGTGAGGGAGAGAGAGAGACCTGTCGCCTGCCCTACCGTCGATTCCATATCGTCTCCCTCGAGGTTCTGATGCCGGAATCTTGCTTTTCCGGCTAGTTTATCGATACCACCTGGGTAGTTTCCAGTCCTCACTCTTCCAACCTCTACCATCTTGTGAATTTGCTTTTCACCCAATTCGGGCAGCTCACCATCTCTTGCAGGAGTTTGCTGTCCTTTTTCGAGTGCATGCTCCCCGGGTTCTACTGTTCAGTGGTGAGGTCTACTGCCCTGCATGCTGCACCTGCAAGTTAGTTTTTCATCTGTGATCCGCCAGTTTGCCCCCCAGCCAGCAATCGCTGCTCAGAAATTCAGCTTCAAGGAGCATCCTTGATTTCTTCCTCTTCCTCTTTCTTTTCGGGCATCTTTCTTGTGCCACTTGTCCATTGACCACAGCCACAGGGGGAGAAATTTGTTCTCGGCACATTCTCTGCCACAATGGACGATGGAGCTGACCTCCCCTGCCAATTGCTCTTCTCCCACCCGGAGATGCCTGACAGCTTCGACGAGTTCTTCAACAGCGCCACGACGACCTGCACCCACACGCACAGCTGCTACCCTCCCGGCCCCTCGGCCGCCATGCACACCCACACGTGCCTGCACACACACACCCAGGTCCTCGGCAGCGGCGGGGAGGACGACGACGCCAGAGAGGAGGACTCGACGAAGCCGCGGAAACCTCTGGGGAACAGGGAAGCTGTGCGCAAGTACCGGGAGAAGAAGAAGGCGCACGCGGCCTTCTTGGAAGAGGAGGTCAAGAAGCTCCGTGCCGCCAATCAGCAGCTCCTGAGGCGGCTGCAGGGCCATGCAGCTTTGGAGGCAGAGGTGGTGAGGCTCAGGAGCCTCCTGCTCGATGTCCGGGGCAAGATCGACGCCGAGGTCGGCGTGCTCCCGTTTCAGAAGCCGTGCAGTGTGGGCTCTGTGGGGTGTGCTGATCCAGCTCTGTGCTTTAATGGCAACTCGGAGGTAGGAGGCAGCTGGGAGGAGAGCTCAAGACCAGCAGTTGCGGATTGCAGGATCGATGAAGGGAGAGGGATGTCACGGGAAATTGATGTTCAAGAAGCTTTGCATCATTCCATGGATGTTGTTGCAAGCTTCGTGAGTTCTGATCCTCTGGCTGAATGAGCAAGTTTGCCTGATTGGCAGTTTTGGGGCCTCTGCCAGTTTCTTTGGGCTTGCTTGAAAGATCAATTTTTGATGGATTAAAAGGAGGAGGAACTGATAATGAGTAGAACTATCTTCGCTGTAGTTTATGCTTCTTGTGCTGGTGTTCAGTGTGTATATAGGGTACAGAATACTTACATATGACTATATGGGCACTGAAGAAATCGAAAATGCAAAATTGTACTGCAGGTATGTCAATGAAATGCACTTGACTTCTGATTTGGAGTTTGTTTGTACTTAGCTGAAATTATATTAAACTATTAATATAAATGCACTGAATACGGTTTACATCTGAAAACTCATTTCTGTGAGCACAAGAATTTTTATTTTCTGCAATTATTAGACAGCAGCAACTAAATTGTCAAATTCTTTGTTCATTCTGCAGAACATTGAGGCTATTTTTTGCCCAGGTTTTTCTGAAATACCACGGACCTAATCATTTGGCAAGGTTGTGGTGTGCATACTGTGTTGAGCTTTAAGGGCTGTCTGAACCAACTTGAATTTAGTAGTTGACCAGCTGTCAGGATTCTGCTGCAAAGAGAAAGATATGATCTCCTCAAGTCAAGGTTTATTGTCATTCTGCACTGGTCTGCTCTGAAAGAATTTCTGTTGCTAGTTTAGAATGGTTTTGCCCGGATATTATACATTTATACTACTACAACACTTCACTGATACTACTGCAGTACGGCTACATGCTTGCTTTCAGACTGTTATGGAGTTATCTGACTACTACAGCTTTGTTTCTTTGGATTCTCAGCCTTGTACCTCTGGAATCTGTGTGCAGCTCAGCGGATGCATCATGTATGCAGTCTGATTTGCAGAATCTTTGTGGGGCTGTGGAGGTTTCAGTTACTGGTTGGTAAACCCTTCTGAGTAGTATGAAAAAAAGGGGAGAAAAGAAGAAAATATTCAGACCCATGTGGTCCACGGAAATGGATTATGATACGCATTTATGTCATTTTTTTTTTAACAATGCAAGTGTTTAAAGTTCAGAGGATTTATGCAAAGAGCAAAAACCAGAGCCAAAAATATTCGTAAGAAGAAACTGGTTAGATCTTTTCTTTTTGTGAAAGGAACCGAAGAGCTAGCAGCTGCAACTTTCTAGCTTGTCATGCTACTGATGGTGATGTGATGTAATCTGGCCATCTGGGACTGAGAGGCATCACCGCACTGTTCTGGTTTACTCCAAATAAGTTGGCCTTGGCCATTGTATTCCTGATTCCTCCTGAGCCAAACATGACACAGGGGAAAGATTTTTATTGGACATGGTTCCCCAGCGATGATTTCTTCCTTCGACAACTGGTACTGTTGTAAGCTTGAAATGATTGAAACTGGAAGTTTTTATTGAACTGTTTCTGCAAGATAATTTTGGGACCCTGGCACCATCTTCGTACAGTACCCCTCCAGGCATTATTGGTCTTTGTCTCTTTGATATGTTGCCTGAGAAACTATTGCGGTCAATTGCCTATCTAGTGCTCTGCTTCCTTTTGATAGATGTCTTGTGCATCATTTTTCAGCTGTATAAATTTTGCAATCGGCTTTCTTTCAATGGTATATGTCTATTATATAGGGCTACAAGTACAAGTTATCTCCTTAAGCGCTAGAAAATTGAAAATAGAATTCAGGATGTTTATTTGCTTTATATGAGACCTGATTATATCTGTGCGAAAAAGAATTCTGGTACTGTGGCACCTTTTTTTTAGATTATTGAATAAAAGCATTCTGGCCTTCACATTCACAAGTGAATGCTTATGGCCAAACGATACAAGAGAGATACTTAGACAAAGGTTTCGCTACACGGACATTAGATAATCCCCAAACCAGACACCACACTGCTGACTACAGCATTACAGAGAGCCCACTGCTCAAAACCCCTATACATAACGAGTGACAAAATATCATCAAAGGACTACGCTTCTATCCTTCTCTGGTTCTTCCAAACATGTACACCAAAAAAATGTAACACCACTCCTTCAAGACGCCTGCATCCTTCATTCAAAGCCCCTCTCTCTTCCTCTTTAGACAATAGGGACCATTGCCTGATCCAATATGCCCCCCCTGAAAATTACATGCAAGTAAGAGTTAGCAATTGATTTTTGGAACACCGCATCATTTCTATTCAACCATAATACCCAACACATTGCCGCTATCCCCACCATTAATTGATTTTTTAGCCCTGGAGCAAAGCTCCTTATCCAAGATCCAAACATGTGAGTCGTGCTTCTTGGTGGTTGAATGTTAGAAGTGATGAACAACAAATTCCAAACAAATCGGGCCACCCGGCAATTGAAAAAAGGTGCTGAATGGTTTCGTCTAACCCACAAAAATTACACTTAGAATCACCCTTCCACCTTCTCTTTAATAAATTATCCCTTGTTAAAACCACCCCTCTCTTTAAATACCAAAGAAATTTTTAATTTTCAGAGGTTTTTTTTCTCAGAATATCTCCTCCCCCCCTCCCCCTAATTCTCTCCTCTTTCGTTATTTCTTGTAGCTACTGAGTTGTGAAAACACCATCTTTCTTTATTAGCCAGATTAATTTATCTTTGTCATTGTTTAAAGAAACCGGCATCACTAGAGCAACCAACCTAAGCCACTCTTCCAGCCTCTCACCCACAATCGTCCGCCTAAAAGAAATATTCAGCGGAGTTGAGCTCAGTACATTGGCTACAGAAACATCCCTTTTCCTCACTAAACTGTACAGGTTAGGGAACCTCGGCTTTAGCGGTTGATGACCCTTTTCCTCACTAAACTGTAGCACCTAGCTGCGTGACTCGCTAGATGCAAGCTAGTTCAATGAAGAACCGTGTTCTTGAAACAAAAAAAAAAGGCTGGACCAAATGTTGTTTTCTTAGTTTGGTGTGTCTTGGATTTGTGTGAGCCACAAATATTAGGTATTGACATCTTCATCGCTGTCAGTTTCAGAGAATTTAATCTGATTATAATTGGCTATAAGAGTTTTTTTTAAAAATGGCTATAAGCATTCCTCTATGATTGCAAAATCCTACAAAAACACCAAACATGTTGCGATCGAATACTCTTGTACTAATTGAGACCTTCATTTTCATTTGCGATTGCATGATTAAAAATAAGATCATACTGTTTCCAGCACCATCCGGGGATTATTTACTTTGCTTTCTAGAAGAGTTCTATGGATTGTTTAGGCAGGTGGCGTCTGCTGACGTAATTTTTCAGGAGCGCACGCACCTAATGAATTGGCCGAATTAAGGTGTTTCTTTACTCCATATTTCATATGTTGCAGCTAGTTATCGGTTGGTGAAAGGGACGTGTACGTGTGTCTGTCAAACATCGCATAAAAAATCATGTAACCAACGGCGGTCCAAATACAATAAGCAGATGACAAACCTGACAAGAAAGACGACCAGTCTCGACCTAGTTTTCCTACGTTATCTGAGTGGAAAGTTCTAACGATTATCATTTTGTATAATGGCCTTGGCAGCTTATCCTCTATCATTTGCCATTTCTCAAATGCCTAGCGGTGAGCATGAGACGTCAAACGGCATGTTCCCGATTGACAAACCAAAGTCCCGTTTGGCTCAACAGCTGTTGATCTCTGTTACTCTGTTGTATGTGTGTATGAGCAGTCAACGGCCAATCCACAATCTGCCACTAAATTAACTTCATACTTCTTTTTCTAAAATAAAATATAGTTGTAGAAGGCACAGATACCTTGGAGCAAGAATAAGTATAATAGCATGTTATAATGGGCTGAATGCTTTGAGATGGAGGAAAGAGAAGTGAAGTTGATAATCACAACCGAAAACCGAACCTGATCCAAGCGTGGGGACGCTTCCAACATGACGCAAGCTAGTACCCAATCAATAGTTCCTAAATCAATGCGTTAATTAATTTATTTTCCCTTATTTGTTGTTTTGATTTGAAACTCAGACTATGTTATTCCTATATATTGAATCAACATAACGACCAAACGAAAAAAATTAACATGGTTTTCTTATAGGCATAGGGGGGCGGACAGAGGGGTAACACCACTCTCTCAGAGCATCTCTAATAGTTCTAAAAAAATAGTCTTCCTCCAGCAATTTCTAAAACCTCGCTTCTAAAATATAGATGACAATTTTGCTTCAGGAATTCCAAACTATTTCTAAATCACCTCAGCTACTTTTAGACTTTCTTTCTCTTTTATATATTTACCTTAGGAACTATGTCTTACTCTTTATTCTTCACATATCCTTCCACCTCTAGATTGGAACATAGATACGCGCGATCGATTTTCCCAAGTGCCGAAAGGTGTAATTTAATGAAAATATTTGATTTTACTTCCTTTAACAACTCATCTATAAGTACTTAGCTATCAACATCATATGTATTTTCTCGCTCCGTCCCTGCTTACATCCTTACCAGCCAAAGTATGATTTTTCTTCCAGACTTGCTAGCGCCCGGACGGATGGACGGGGCGTTCGGATTCCAGCGCTTGCGGTCCATTTCCCTCGCCGTTTTGTGTGCCCACGCGGGGCCTGTGGCGTCCGAACGTCACTGGCATCAAGAAGAGGGGGAGGGGGCGGCGGATGCCTAGCCGACGCCGGGAGGAGACACCGAGGCGAGGAGGGAGATGCATAACCCAATCTACTTTTAAAACATCCTGATGCAACACTTACAACATATGTTTGAAGACAGATGAAACATTTGAAACATGCATCTAAAACACTTTCAAAAACACTTGAAACTATTGTAAAACATACGCAACATTCAGATAAAATACTTGCAACATATGTGTGAAACATATATGCAACATCCAAATAAACACACCTGCAACGTACGTCTGAAAAAACATCTGAAACATTGGGAACAAAATCTTACAACATACGTGTACAAACATTGCAACATATGTAACATTCCGATCTACTTTTACAACATCATATGAAACACTTCCAACATACATATAAAATATCTGAAACACTTAAAACATAAGGCTTGCACAT